ACTCGCGAGTCGCGACCTGTTCGACCCTGTTTTTATTTTTCTCCGTTTTTACTCGTTTTAGCTCCGTTTTTCGAGCTCTATATATGAAAACGAACCCCCAGACCTGAGGAACAATCCCCAATATCGTTCCTTTCAATTTTTCTCTCCAAAAACTCAATATTGTTAGGATAAATTTCTCCGCTTTTCTTTTTTTTCTCTCTCATGCTTGGATTGTTGGACACAAAGTTATTTGGATTGAAATCTTGCAACTCTTAATCCGATTGTAAGTTTTTCAATTCTATTTTATTATTGTTGATTGGTTTTATGTCCTTAATTCCGGTTAACATGAAATTGAATCTAAGCATGAGGTAATTCATTCACCTAGGGTTAGGGATTTTGATTCTTGTTTTGAATTATGAGGAATGTGTTTTGTTCAATCTATACGAGTTGTGTGAATTATATGGTTAGTTGATTGATCACCATTCTAACCTAGTTAATCGACGTTTAGAACCGAGAGGGGAGACGTCGGTCGATTTAGGCTCTTATAGAGTAGACATGTTCGTAAAAGTATTGTCTATGTGTTGCTTGTTTGAATTAGTTTATCGTTTATGTTTGTGCTCTTGTTACGAAGAGTTATTGAGCATAGCCCTCTAGACGTGTAGGCTTGTTTAATCTCGTAACCGAACAAACAAGCGTTCAACATAGTTTAAGACTTGATGAGATTTCCTGACCCCTAGACCTTCTTCTTTTTCTCTAGAAATTTAATTGTTATTTCTTTAAATTGTTTTTCTAGTTCTAGATTGTTTTAGTTGATTCCCCAAATCAATCGTGATTAGAGTGTTTAGGACTTATTTTCTTTTCGTGTGTGATCAAGACCAACGCTAAATTTCGAACCGTCTTCCTCGAGAGATCGACCCGGGGAGCGAATCTTTTGATTCGGTACTCGGTAAAAACATAAAATAATTTGCTACAACAGGAGTTAAGGCTGGAACTTCAACCTGTATATAGTCAGGACCCTAAATTTGCTGAAAAATCACAAGTCTACCCGTCCAAATAGCAAACAAAAATAATAGCAGAAACAGAAAAGGAAAAAATACAACAACCAAAACGAAAAAATCTGAGCCTCGGTCAAATGGAGCCCAAAGAGTAGTCTGCACCAAGAATTGGCAAAACACACAAAAAATACAAAACGACTACTCAAATCTGAAGGACGGGTAGCCCATTTGATCCATTTGCACGAGAGTACGAAGTTGAAGAGGAGCGTCGTCTGAATGAAATATAGACCTTTGGGGAGTGGAGGCATCGATGAAAGCGAGGAAGTCAGCTGGTCGGTTTTCCTGCGAAAGATGTGTGAGATTCGATAGCAAACCGACCAAAGTGTGGATCTGATACGCATGAGCGGGTGCTGAATCTGCTGCGAGCCCTGGTGGCCTGAGGTAAAGAGGGTGGTGGCAGCGGCAACGTCCAGCTCTATCCAAATGTGAGAGGAGATAGAGGCTGCGATCTGAAGACCGATCTGAAGCGCTTGAACCTCCACGTCGCAACTCGAGGAGGCCTGAAGAGGGGCGTGAAAGGCGGTAATGAGAGCTCCGCTGTGATCCCTAATCAAGCCCCCATCTCCGGCGGCTCCAAACGAAAGATCCATCAGTGTTTACCTTAACACAAGGGGACTCGGGTCTCAGCCTAACAACAGCTCTGCGGCGTGGGGGCTGGGCAATCGACAGCGGAGATGGAATGAAGCGGTGGGGCAGCGTGCATCCTGTCCAGTCTCTAGGTGTGAGTCTTCCCAGAGCTGTGAGAATAGAGAGATATCGATCAACCTTCAAAACAATGTGAGAGCATAAAAAAGTAATATCCATATGCTTCGCATTATTACTTTCTGTCTAAATGTACCTCATGATCAGACAAGAAATGAGGAAACCCACGTGTCTAAAAACTCAGAAGCTCAGAAAAAATGTCTGTAGTGGGAAAGTGTATATAAATATAAGTAGCGAATTGCTCCTACAACTGTTTATAGGGAAGAGGTATAGGAGTATAAGTGGGGATGTGCTCTCACACTCTCCTTGCAACCTCACTATCTAAGAACAAATGGGCAAAAGTTTCGGTGAAGATATTAATAAAATAAAGAATTTTTTTTCTGGTCTATTTATTAATTACTATCTCTTATTTTTTTTAAATGTTATTTTGGCTTAATCAACAATTAACTAAATAAATAATTTTTGAATCTTTTTTACACATTTTCCATTATTACCCTTACACTATGTCTTTTTATATTCACTTTTAATCTTTTTCTAAATCATCTATCTCTATCCTCGTTAATAAAAATTATTTTTGTAAAAAAAAAAAAAAAGATTTTTAATTACACGGAGTATAATTTAAGATAAAACTCAGCAATTTGAGAGAGAGAGAGAGAGAGAGAGACGCAACAACGCCCAATGCCGCATAAACCCGCGACCACCACCAGGCAGCCTCGCCGGAACTTCCCGACCACCGCCCGGAAATCAAATTCGACCACCCCTGTTGCGTTACCTCATCTCTCCACCGCTTCCACCGCCTCCACCGCCGCTATTCTACCGCCGCCCACCGTCGCTCGAGAAACAAGATCACCACATGCTACAGCTCTTGCTCCCCAGACTCAACCCCAAGGCCAACAACAAGCCCTAGCACCCAATTGGGGACTCGCAAACTCCGATTCCTTGAACATCGACGATAACAGAAACGAGGGATTGGGTAATTCCATTGAGCCCGGGAAGCCCGGTATCGAACAATTCGGGCCGGAGAAAATATTTCACATCGAGACCGGAGCTTCCGTGGAGAGCGGAGGTGGAGGGATGAGTATGGCCGATCCTTATTGTGCGCCAGAAGGAAGATCGCAGCTGCAGGCCGAGGGTTCTGTAGAGCCCGTAACCAGGCCCGACAATGCCGTGGATGGCGTGGCCGGGCCCGGGAAGGTGAAGAAGATAATAGTGAAGAAGGTCGTTAGAGTTGTTAAGAAGGTGGTAAAGAAGAGAGTGCCGAAGAGAGTTCTGACTGTGTTAGCTGAAGAGAGTGAGGTAACAAAAAGTTCTGATTTTGATAACAAATCTAATTCTGTAGATGTGTTAATAGAGAAACCAGGGATAGTAAGTGAGGCCGAGGACACTCTGGACACAGCCGATGAGGTTGCTGAAAATTCGAATGTGGCTAATGATATTGTAAACGAAGCTGCGCAAAGTGACGAGGTTTTGGAAGAGGCAAAGTTAGCAGACAATAAGAAATCGGAAGTTTTTGTTAATTGTGCGAATGTGTCCGAACCCGTTTCAAGGGAGAACGGTAAAGATGCTAGTGGTAGTGTTTTTAGTGAAAGTGCTCGTGAACGAATAATGCCTGATAATGATGAAAGTGGGTTGAATACTTTACACAGTGACAATATGAAAAGTGATGATTCTGTAACCTGTGCTCCAGATACTATGGAAGTTGAAAAGGTTGATTGTATTTCCAAACATGTTGTGGAGACAGCTGAGGGGGACAATGGTACTATTAGGTCGAATGAAGGGTCGGTTTTAGGTGAGGAAAAGGAGGCATTGGAGAGGAAGGAGAGACGAAAGACCGAGATCTTTGTTGGTGGTTTGGAGGGCTATACTAAGGAGGAAGACATTAGGAAAGTGTTTGAGGAGTTTGGGGCTATTATGGAAGTAAGGCTTCTGATGTCTAATGGCACGGGGAGGAACAGAGGGTATGCCTTTGTGCGGTTTGAGTCGGCTGATGGTGCTAAAAATGCGTTGGCGAAATATTCTTATGCTGAGGTAACTATCAGGTGCTGTTATGGTTAGGTTGAAATTTTCTTTCATTATTTACATAAGCTATCCTGAGGTTCAGTCTAATTAGAACAGAAGGAAAAAGGGGGAACAAACACGCCGTTATCTTTTGAATTAGAAGTATCTAACTTAAGGTTTGTATTTACCAAACAAAGTACCCGATCTTGGTGGTGCTTTTTTGTAAGACGAACAAGTTGTAGGAGGTACATTTATTATTTTAAGAGATAATTTTTTAATTACGCTAAACCTAACGAGCACGTTATCTTGTTAACCCGATCTTTGTTCCAGTTAGATTACCTCTAAACATGTATATCAAAGGCAAGTTTCTGATTTTGATTACTCACTGCCCTTTGATTATTCTCTTACCAAGTCGGCATGTAAACTCGTGTTTCAAGTAGGCACTCATTATGTGCTATGTATAAAGGTGTTATGTCTCTCGTTCCTTAGTCGCTTCCACATCAACTTGTTATATTTGAATGTGTTGATCTCCATATTTTTTATAAGCCTTCCTAGTAACTATGTCCAAATAGTGGCATGTAAATATTACATTAATTAATTCTTTGATTCTGGTAGATATGAATTTGACTAGCCCACATTGCTTTACTTCGTACCTTCAATGGAAGTTTTCCATTCGCATTTCAGAAATCTTATTCTGATTCTTACGTTTTCTTCTGTAATTTAAACTTAGATATGTGGAAAGCAATGTAATGTAGAACCATCCGGGGGCAATGATACTATATATCTCGGCAACATTGACAAAAATTGGAAGACTAAAGATGTAAGGAATTCTATATTGCTCAAATCTCGTTGGAGTCCTTATATGAAGTGGTATAATCAGAACTCTCTATCTCTCTCTCATTGCAGCTGATGACATTGTTAGAGAAAGATGAGATTAAGAATATAGGTAAAGTGACTCTTAAGCCTGATCCAAATAATGTTGGCAAGAATCGGGGTTTTGCATTTCTTGAGTTCAAAACAAGTAAAGCTGCCCAAACTGCCTTTGATAAACTCCAAAAGAAGAATATTTTGGGGAAAAATCTGATGGTAGAAGTTGCATGGGCACAACCATTAAATGACCCCGATGAAGAAGAAAGTAAGGTAGTTTTCTGTGGAATCTAGTTTCTGTTCAGAAAATTAGAAATCTTATTATTGTATTCTGATGGGGCCCACACTGTTGTATATGTGCTTGGCATGGAAAATGAAATATGTTCTGTCTGGTCTCATTTTCATTCTCTGCCTGTGAAGACCAGCAACTGTTTCCAAAATAAAGATGCTGCTCCCACATGTATAGAGGCTGTCACTACAGAGAGATTGCACGATCATGGCTCAAAGGTTCTGCATTTACTGGATAATTTGTTGTTACTTTACACTGTTACAGTATATTTTACTTCTTCAGGAATTAATTGCCGATGTTAATTTTGTTTAGGTTAATAAAGCTATCCCACCTGCAACTCTAAAACCGAAAAGCAATCAGATAAACCGAACAACACCTGGTTGGACTACAAAGCAACTGGGCAATGCACAGCCAAAGGCTGTACAGAGTGAGTTCTTATACTAAATATGATTTAGGGAAAGTTTGTTGCATGCCCTAAAATGTCAGTATTATTTGGAAAGCTTAAATGCATGCCCGTTATGTGTATGCTTTAAGAAAAAGAGAATACCTAAATTTTGTAGTCAAGATTGTGCTGTGAATAAGTTATAACATTTCCTTTTATGGGTATTCTAGACTCCATAAAACTGCACGAACCTAGACACGAGTGGAAGCCTGCTAGCAGTAGTTATGATGGTGCGAAGATTGATAACGGGCCTTCTGTTACAAATGAACTCGTGCAAATATTGAGGCAACAAGCGTCAAATAGGCATTTCCATCCACAGCCACAATCAAAACCACTTCCGAGGACGGGTATCAATAGTTTAATTTCTGTTCAACAGTGATATTAAGTAAAGAAATATTGTGGTCCCATTTTTTTTTTCTTTTTATTGTTAATTCAAATAGGACTTGATCATCATATCATATGCGAGATGGAAATTTAAATGAGTGAACAATCCAGTGTATTGGTGCTAGAGAATATATACTGCTTGTGAAGTAAAGAAACTTGCAACTATACTTTTGTATGATGTGTTTGTAGATCATTTAGATGTGTGATTCGTTCTTCTATGATGTCTTCTTGAGTTCTTGTTCATGCTTCACGGCTAGAACTACCACATGCACATGCAATAAATCATATCAAATGAAATTAACCTAATTTGGTATTAAGTGGTCGAATTTTGCGTGTTCATCATTTTGATTTCGTTCTTCTTTGATATTTTATCATGATCATGATAATTTATTGGTGCAACGTTGTTGCGTAATAGGAGGCATAGCTCCAGACCTTCATTTCCCTTCCCCTGGAAGCAAGCGACCATTTTCACTAGTGGTATGTTTACTGAAGGTTCCCACCTCTTTTTTCCTGCCCAATATTCTTCATGCAGACAGCTAAACTTGGCCATCTAATTATTTTGTTTTTTTTCAGGGACACGATCCACGCCATTTGGAGCTCTGGGGACAGTCAAGAGCGCGTATAGAAAGTTCTTATCCAATTTTAGGCCCAAGGTTTTTAGAGATTTTAAGCTACAAAAAGCGCTCCTACTTGATGCCTTATATTATATTGTGGAATATCTCATTGTGTATTGTTTTTCTTATTCTCGATTACTGCTAATTTCAGTTCATCATCACTAGATGCAAATGCATTACCTATCCCAGGTCATCCTCAACAAATGCCTGCCCTCACATTGGGTTAGAATTTAGATACTCGTGCATGTAGAATTTTTCCTATTGGGTTTGTTGAGTGCATAAAAACTTATAGATTATTTTATGTTCGTCTTTCAGGGACTCGTATAGGAACAGGAAATCATCCTAGTCATTTTCAGGTATAGAGCCCGGCTTTTATTTTTCCTTTGTGTTCCCGTTGCCATCATCTTCTTGTGCGAAAGATCCGACTTTTATTTGTTTATTTATTTATTTTTATCTTTATTTTCTTTGGCCAGGAAAGAGGACAAGCTCCTTATCATAGAGACCACAACATATTCCGCAGATGTAAGTAAATGACAAGAGAATTTCTTATGTTATGAAATGTCATTCTTTTATGCATGTAGTTTTGTAGGTTTTGTAGAGATTGACATTTCAGTTCAAATGTATGCATATCTGTTGAAAAAGTATAGTTGTCTAACCGTAAGACTTATTAGTTACTGAATTTCAAGTCTAAGCGAATGGATTTAAGGTGTTCGTTATTGTTCTTTGATATGTTTTGTTTTGTTTTGTTTTGTTTGCATAGATTGAAGAACCATTTGCGATAAAATTGGAGGCGAGTGGGTCTTTCTTCTTAGTCTGCTCCAATCTTAGGCAAGAAAATGCCGAACTTTGTGACTTATAGCTGACGATGAATTATATGGTGAACCAGGTGCACTTTGTATTGTGCACCAAAGTCCGAAAATTATTGTATTTTTAGCTGATAATATGAAATGTATTTTTATATACATTTGTCTATTGTGTACTGATACACATTATGTGTTCTCTAGTGAGTGCAATTTTAATTGATGGTCTTAAATTCATTTCATCTTATTTACTCATTTACTATTCATCGCCCCCTTTTATTAGTTATCGCTCCCCTCATTTACTCTTTTGCTCTTAATCTTTTTTCAGACTCTATCTCTCTAAACTTTATACCTCTCTAAATTCTCGAACTTCCAACAAGCGATTCGAGCACCGAAAAAAATCCGAAAAAATCCTACGGCATCGGCAAATCGATCTTCTCTAGTAAGGTAATTTTTTTTTTTACGCATTAAATATTTTAAAATTTTTTTTTTTATTATGGTCGGTGTCCGGCCGTCGGATCCGGACGCGCGGCGGCCGTCCGGTCGTCGGTTCCGGATGGCGAAAAAGGCGTCCGGTCCGGCCGGCTGATCGGCTAAAAAACCGACCGAGATCGGCGGCCGAACGCCGGAAAAACTGTGCGGGATCGGGGGGCGGTCGAACCAAACCGGACCGGCCCCGCCGGCTGGTGACGAGCCGGCCGGATAGTTTTTAATTTTTGTTTTTATAATAATTATAATAATAATAATAATTATTATAAATAGTACTTCCCACAGCTAAGGCTTAGCCCCTTTCTCGGATATCTTAGTCAGGCAGTTTGCTCCTGCTTACCATTAAGTTTGCGGCAAGGCCATGTACGCACTCAAGACGACAATCGAAAAAGAAGTCGCCTTCGATTTCTTTCTGAGTAAAAGAACTGTCCCCTGCATGAAAGCGTAGAACAGACTCATACCTGCCATTCCTTTCTGGGTGGAATTGCCACACCGCATCAGAACATGCATTCTCGCGATCTATTTCATAGGGGAAGCTTACTCGAGAGAAAGGGAGAGGGGCCATCTTTTTTTTTCAAAAAAAAATGAATCAGCTTCAGAAGATTCCCAAAAAAGCTAGACCACTTGTCGGCTTTAGGAAGAGATGGGCTTAGGTTGGCACTTCTTAAGAACCTTCCCAAAGTACCTCCCATTGATGTCCAATCTCTAACCAAGACCCTCCACTTTGAGAAAGAGGAATCGTCTTATGTGCGGATTGAAGTGCAACCACCTCGGACAGGGGAGAAAAGAGGAAAAGGAGAAGTTCCTTGTACGAAAACCAAAAGAAGAATGAGAAAGAGCTCGACTAAAATACGATCTTCGCGAAAAAGAATTGCGAAGCTTCATTATTATCCACCTTCTTTTGAAACTTTGGATAAGAAGGCGGCCGATAAGTACGGGGTGGATACCATTCTCCGCTCTCAAGCCGCCTGGCGGAAGCAGGTGTGTGCTACTCTTTCTTTCGTTTCCTTTTCTTTTCGTCTTTGACTTGACTGCCGTTCTCTTTTGTACAGGCTTTGACTAGTACCCACCTCGTCCGTAGTGCTTTGGATAAGGCAAGTAAGGACGCCAAGAAGGAGGCTGAAAAGGTTGCCAAAGAATGGGAAAATAAGCTTTCAGAGCTAAAGAGATCTCATGAAGCCGCCCTGAAGGCTAAGGAAGAGGAGGCCCTGGAATTGCATAACCAGATAGCTAATATGAAAGCCCAATTCAAGACCAGAGTCGCCAAAATGGAGTCCACTATAAGGGAGAGGGAGGTCGAGGAGAGCAAAGTGAGACCCAAAGAACGAAGCGAAGCGAAGTGACGTCAAGGTTCGATGTAATTGACGAAGCGCAGTGAAGTCCTGGTGTAATTGACTTGAACTTGTTAAAGAAATAGCATATGGAAAAGAAAGGTGAGAATCAAGCAGAAGAAAGCAAGGCAAGGGTCAAGTCTCTACGGGATTGGTTCGGCTTCCCCGGAGACAGGGTCGAAGCACGCCCGTCCAGTGTACTTCTTTCACGACATGCTCTGGTCCCGGGTATATTCCTGTGGTCTTCTAGCCTTAGAAGAAGTCGTGTCCGTCCCGGACATCTGCAACGTCCTCCCACGCTTTTTAATTCAATTTCATTTAAAAGGGACAAAGGAAAAGACTGACCCATTCGGTGACTTTCTAAATTACATCTACCCTCACTGAACCGACTTTCATCTTCACTACGATTCAGATCAAGTCTGACCGAAATCGGATTCCCTTTTCGTGCCATATGCGCGCGCTTAGACTTTCTTTTTTCCCTTTTTTCTTCCCGGTCCAATATTTTTCAGAATAACACTCGGATTTTAACTGGATAAACACTCGAATTTTAACTCACAACATAAAATAAAATTACACACACAAGTGTTTCAAGTACCAAATGAAAATGAAAACAAGAACAAGAACATCAAGAACACTAGAAAGTGTTTGTACTAATTCTAATATTTGTATCTAAGAACTCAAACTAGAACTTCCTCCCCGCACTCTCCTTATGACCTCTCACAAATGATGTATTTATACTAGTTCAAGAGGGGACAAAATCACATAAAAATCATCTTAAGATCATTATGTATTAATGGCTAGCATATCTATCAAAAATCTCCCAAAATCAGCCCAAAATCTTCCAAAATCCGCCCAACATCCATGTTTGGAAAAGTGGGCGCCGCCCATGTTGAACAAGACTTGGCAGCTTGCGCGGTTTTACGGTTTTGGCTCGTACGGGCTCGTCCGGACTCGGAATTGAGTTCCGTTTTCTCCTACGATTAGCTAACGATCGGTCAGTAAGCTTCGGTGAAGCCTACCAACCATCCCATACCAAATCTCCGTAAAAAGAAGAAAATAAACGAGGATCCCATTCAACAAATTCATAGGCCACTTCACCCCTCTTCAATTCAATGTCATATACTGGCCACAATTAGTTACAAAAGTTGCCCCAAAGTTATGCTGAAAAGTGGCCGCGGCGCGAGGCTTGGGCAGCTTGCGCGGCTTTACGGTTCTTTCTCGTTTGGGATCATTCGGACTCGAAATTTAGTTCCGTTTTCTCCTACGCGTTACTAACGAGCTCTTCTTTCCAGCTGTGCTCAAAAGAGCAATTTATCTTGTAACTCAAATCTTCACGGGGCTCGATACCAATGCGTCGGAAACGATAACTCTCGAAAATCCAGACTTATTATACCTGAAATTACACCAAAAACCGGAAAAACACAAAAACACACGAAAATATACGAAAACACACGAAAAACCACAAAATACACAATAAATACTAGAACAACAAAAATAACCGAAAACAACTAAATAGACCGAAAGACCTTTTAAAAGACCTAAAAATGAGGGAAAATAAATGTAAAATAACAGTAAAAGAACGTAACAAAAATAATCACAACAAATTCCCCCACACTTAAACCTTTGTTCGTCCAGAACGAAGATGAGACTCAAGAAAAAATGAAAAAAATAATAAAAAATCAAGCATAATCGACATTTTTCAACAGAAGCTAGTTTCAAATTGTTCTCGTTAACTGAAATGAATTATAATGACCAAATAAATACACTTCCAAATTACTAACGTGGAATCACTCGGCAATAAACTCTCGAAATATATGGACATGTAAGTGTATATATGCCTCACTCAATTTCACCATATCAGTAAAAATAGGAACTCAAATCGGTCGGAATCCACAGTTAACTATATGCTTGCCTGTCATCTAATGTCTACTCAAATGTAATAAAAAAATTACAAGTTATGAATTATAGGGTCTTTACGGGTTGTAATGTAGGCTCTTTGGACAAGGTGGGATACAATATGGTTAAGTGACTCAATATCTCTTCCCCAACCATAACAATCTTTTCCGG